CATAACAAGATTCGGGAACAAAGACCACGCCTCAGATGGATTCATTTCCGTACTACGACTACTTAACACGTTGGTAACGTGGTCAACCTCGTGAAATGGTTGCAGCTCAGTTAGGTTTAGGAAAAGATAAATACTTGTTTAGGTTTGAAGAGCAAATAAATATTGTTAGTGTGTGGTGTAAACTTGGTCAGGTAACACTGTTGCCTTTTTGTTTTACAAAGGACACAAACAGTTGTCTCCTGGTTGAAAGTCCATTTTTGTTTGACCCATCCACCATTCTTTCTACACACCCTATGTGGGCTTTTTTGCTCCTTACACTTAATTTGCATACACCACAACAAAAGATCCTCATTGCCTTTGCATTGGTGTTGTTTTTGTGTTGTCGTTTTTAACACATTTTGTGCTCACCACTGGTGCTGTCTTTTTTTTAAGAGAAGACGATTACATCTATATTAAGCAGAGAGTCACCTGAAACAACCAAAGCTACGTGCTACAGTCACATAAGTGATGTGGTGATACTGTATCTCCTGCATTGTATCCAGTTTTGTTACATATTTCCAAAGTTCACGGAGCAGATGCTAAAGACAAACAGATCTACTGTGTACTCCACCCAATAATAAAAAACAGCAGTCAGGGTGCTTATTAACTTATCACTGCCTGTCTATTCATTTAAAGTTAAGACTGGCAGGACTATTTATTGATTTTTTTATTGCCTACACAAATGTACCTGAGTCCAAGAACAAATATAACATACTTTCTAGCATCAATAAATCATGAATCTGGAGGTAGTATCACAGATTTTGTCACTGTGCGTGGTGTCGCCATCCTGACTTTCATTGTTAGACATTAACTAAACTATAACAATCTGTAATCCTATTGCTTTTATTTATTTATCTTCAGTTGAGTTCAGATGAGTTTATTTTAAATTTAGAGGACACTATGTGGTAATGACAATCTTGAACATTTGTCACAAGCAAACACAAAAGATTATTGAGGAGAGATTATTAAAGAGAGGGCGGTGCAGGATCTCTAAAGAGCCCAGTTACAATAAGTGGACAATTAGTCCATCCCTGATCTAGAAACACACTTGTCTGTCTGTGACAGATGTCTGTAGGACTGCAGCCATTTACAGTCATTACAGACATAAATGCTCCCGTTTGTGTCCTGTGTGAAGTGAACTTGAGTTATATTAAGGTAAGTATGTAACATGTCAATACCATTTGTGGGGCACCGATTTGTTTAACCCGGTCTCACGCCAAAGTTGTCAAAAACCTGGGCTTGGTCAGTGATATCCGGCGTCAGACACCAATGAAAAGAGTCGTCCTTTTACTTCGGCGTGATACACGGCTAGTCGCCATAATTGTTTAACAGCGTCCAGCGGCATCAGGGAAACACAACGGGACAACAATGAAAGTTAAAGGGGCAAAAACTCCTAGAAGAGTGGGGGGGGCGTGGTGGTGGATGGGTCCAACAACCACCAACTTTCACTATCCTCATAAAAACAGTTCATATATATTGCATAAAAATACACATACAATAGTATGGTATTAAATGAATTAGTGCCGCACAATGACATTATGTACTTAATGTAATGTTACGTAGGTTAGGTTCAGGAGAAGAAACATGGTGACAACATAACTCAAAATAACTCAAAGTTTGCTTTCACACAGGACACAAAGACAAGATTTGGGGGAAAGTACGTACTAAAATTACGTAGGTTGGGTTTATGAAAGGAAACTCAGTGATAACTTAAAGTTCTGCTGGGTTGAGTCCATAAAGTTAGGTACTTAACAGATGTTACGTATGTTAGGTTTAGGCAAATGAAGTTATAAAGATTAGCTTTAGGAAAACAAAACAAAATGAAAGTTCAAAGTTCAGTTGGTTTCACAGAGTTGATTTTCACCGTGTTGTTTGACCCATCCACGACCCCAACCTGCCTCCATACACAGACTTTCAGTTTTTATACAATTTCCCTCTTTACTCCTGTCAGCACATTGGTCATGTGATCACAACCTTCCCAATACATGGGTTAGATCCAAATTGTGGTGCATTTTCATAGGTATACATATGAACAGTGCATGAGAATAGACTGAAGTATAGCAGAAGCATTCAATAAATGATCATATAACTCTGCTGAGGTAACAGACAATATGTACAGTATCATACTTTAGCTAGTTCACATAGGAAAGTGTACAATACTATTTACTCATTTAATGGAGCAATAGGTAGCTTTTAGTTTTAAATGTCTTTTAATGTCTTAGAGAACCAGTTCTGGGAACAATTGCTTCTCCTTAAAGTGGTAGTTAGTGTCAACACTAATTACAAATAATAATCCACAGCACTGGCTTTAGCTCAGTATGTCTGGGAATTACATCCATACTGTATTTACATTTGATACAAATGTTCTCTGCCAGTGCAGAAGGTATTGAGCCCTTAAGGTAGCAAGATTGGAATGGTAAAAAAAAACATGTAGTGAGTCAGTCTGTTCATGTGCAAGGGTGGAGTCACATCCTGCAATTAACTTTAACCAAGGGTTGTATTTGCCTTACCCTTGGCCTATCTTAATCATAGTTATTATGTTTTTTATTAACCTTAACTGTATCATAGATGCCAGGAGCAGATGTTTTATTAATGTTAGCATATAAGAACATTTAAAAAAAAACAAAAAACATTTCATTACACCTAATCAAATGATTAGAAGTTTTGAAGACTTTTTGAGTATTGACAGAGATAGAGGCTACAATCAGTTGCAGTTTTCAAGGGAACCCAACATATATATAACAGTCACTACAAAACTAATGCAGTAAGTGCAGTAGTGTCACTGCAGCAAATATAATATGGGACATTTGCACTTAAACTACAAACTGTAGTTATGAACTTCACAGAGGAAACAAAATTTAACATTTAGCTTCTGAAATATTTCAAATAAAGTTATGCTGCTCATCGTGCGTACAGCGGACAGCATCTCTGTTAATAGGAAGTCAGACAGCAGCTCTGCAGCTCTGCTCTGATCTCTGCTACATTCACATGTTAGAGAACGTAATTAACAAGTGTGTGTGTGACAAGCAGAGAGTACGCACTTTGTGAAGCCGCCTACGTTGGTGCATCTGACTATCTGAATAATGCACTCTTTAAATAGCAGAAAATATTGTATTATTCTGATTTTAAGTTTTTGTTTGTCAACAGCACAGTCGCTTTCTGCTGCCTCAAAATGGCAATGTGCCAACAACACTTCTGACAACACCTTTTTTTTCCTAAGAATGAAATGAAAGGGGGAAGAGAGATAAGGAGCAACATGCGTCACAGGGCTGCAGTAGACCTTTTTCCCAGACATTTAGACTTGTCATAATAGGACAAGCACCAGTGAAACTGATAACATTAACAATGGCTCAGTTCCATTAAGGGCCCCTGTAAGCTATTCCAGTGAGCCTGCATGCACAATGTCGGCACCTCCCATAAGTGGAATGCAGCCACCATTATTGACATTAAATACAGCTGTGCTCTTCCTAGTATGACATGTCAAAAGATGAGGGTTACAATTAAACCACAGCTGCTACAGTATAGATAGAGTCTTAGTGTGTGGAGCACACTCTAAGAGATCAGTCACTGGGGGGTCCATTTTATGACCTAAATGCCCATGAACACATATATGGGGACAAGTACTTACAAAACATGGGTGCTGGCAGTTGCATCTGTCTGAAAAAAGCATTGATAGTTGCGGTGTGCTGTGCGCAACATACCCCAGGTGGCAGATACGGCCCTCTTTTGCCAGTTGTAGCTGGGATTAGCATGTCTGCAGAGGTGGGTTTTGAGGGCCTTCTTGAATGCTTACAATGTGGGGGCATTTTGTATGTGGTGTGGTGGTGAATTCCACAGAGAGGGGGTAAGGAGAAGCAGAAGGAGGTTGGCATCAGCAGAGCAGAGACAACAGAGGGGGAGTGCTGAAGGAGGATGTCAGAGATAAATGGAGGGGCTAGATTGTGAAGGACCTTGTAGGTGATGAGTAGAGTGTATCCTGTGGAGGTCGTGGAGGACTGGGGTTCTGGTAAGTGGGTGGGCAGCGGAGTTCTGTACATACTGAAGTTTACTGAGGACAGTTTTTGTTGTGTTGTACAGGATGCTGTTGCAGTAGTTAAGCCTGGATGTTTCAAGTGCATGGATGAGTGTTACAGCAGCAGAGAGGGTCAGAGGCGGGCAATGTTACTGAGGTGAAAGACTGTTGTTTTGGTGATGTGGTTGACATTAGGCAGGGAGGAGAGGGTGGGGTCAAAGACAACTCCGAGGTTGCGGACTTGGGTGAGAGCCATTAATATTGAGTGGAAAGTCCTGGATGGGGCGGATAAGGGAGTCTGGGCCATTGATGAAGATTTCTGACATATTGCAATTGAGTTTCAGAGAATGTCTTTGCATCCATGTTTTAATGTCCGTTAACCAGGTGGTGAGGATGGAAAGAGTGGCACCAGTGATGGTTAAGTGGAACAAAGTCTGATTCAATTGAGCTTCAAAGTCAAACAACGTTCCTCTGCGCACACTGCGATGACACACAGCTGGTTGAATATCAGCAAAGTTTCCCTGCTTCCCTTCACTGGTTCCTGTACAGCAGGGTCGGTCTTTTTTCACTGTTATAATCACTAAAAAGCACATGTGGATGCTGATGGAAACATTCAGGGAAAGACATGAAGTCATAAAGCTCTCTCTACACAACAGGCAAACATTTACATCATACTCTCCACATTTTAACTCATTCTGCAAATGCTGTTGGTCACAGAGCCCACCTTGTCACTAAAAGACTCCCAGTACCATACAGTTAATCACATAATCATTCACTTTGTACACAGGAGCAGCAGAGACAGTGAGTGATAACTGGAAAGTTATCTGGATTCTGGTAAAGGCTGAGAAGGAAAGGAAGAACCAGAATTTCCTGTTCTGACAAACGTTGATGTGGGAGGAACATAAAACTCCTGTGCCCTCATCTATTTTAGGAATTCTGATTAGTACAACTGCTGGGAACACATCTGTTAAGGAGTATCCGTCAGTAGCCCCAACCAGGTAAGACATTATTTTTATTAAGCTGTGTAGAGAGTAAGAACATGCATGATAAGATATTAGAAGTCTGTGCCTCAAGTTCAGTTGACTTCTGCCAGGACTGTAAACTGTCAGCTACGTTTTTTAAAAGGAAAATGCTGAGAGGTACAGCAGTCAAAGTGGATGTATTGGAAATTGCATGTAAAATGTACCAAAGATAGCCTAGCATGTGAACTTTATATGAGTCACCAAACTTTAAATAAAAAAAAAATTACTTTTAACCAGTGAAGGGGACAAATAAATCCATACAGATCCAGAAATGCATCTTACATTACTATGTTTTTATGTGAGGTCCTTTTTAACACTTAAACAATTCTTAAAAGTATACTTGTGCTTTTAGTGTACTTTGTGTATTACTGTTAAAACGACAGAGGGCATTAACACGAGAGCAACATGCAGCATTCCTGTGTCAGTTTCAAACCTGAGCCAGCTGCATTGTGGGGACTTCTGACACTCCTAATCAACTATGCTCTTTCACAGATAGTGTTTCAAAATGCTACGGAAATCTTTTCTGAACCTGGTATTTGATTTCATCTGTGCTGCAGCAACATTCCTTCAGATCTCGTTTTCAGCTTGACATTTCCTCTTGCCCCGAGAGTCTGCAGGATAAAGCACTTCATTTGACAAAAACAGTTTGCAACGGTACCAAATATAAGAAAAAGGATTGTACGAGACATTCAGAATATTGGCTCTTGGGGTTTCAATATTATTAAACTTCGATGAAAAGCTAAAACAAACTGATATAGGATATATATGATGCTGGGAGATAGCATGGGATTCATTTAACCACCTTAAAGTTACTTGGTAAAACAAAGAAGACTGTATATTAAAGGTTGAGTACTTCTGATGTCGCTTCATTTATTTTGTAGCTGATGTGCCAATTTTATTTTCTTTATTTAAATATTTTAACAACAGCGACGTAAAACTGTATCGTCAGCTGCATGTACTGTATAATGTCATATGACACTGAATTAACAAGTCTCGTCACTACCTGTGTCTTTAACCTCAGCTTTACTATTACCTGAAATAACTTTGCAGTCAGGCATGAAACACACAGATCACAGGAATGAAACCACGACAACAGACACAATCTATAGTCGTCAAAAACATAACAGTAATATTAAATATAAAATGATACACAAATTAGGAACATAGAATATAATGTAATACAAATTGAAGATATAGGTCTGTGCTTGCATCTTCTGTCTGTGTAAGTTTTTGGATAATAATAAGATTAAACTCTTTGTTGGGTGGGTGATCAGAACAGTTGAAAATCAGCTGGATGCTGTGGCCACTCAATCCATAGGGTGTTTAAAACTGATTTATATGAGCAGAATATTCATCTGCTTTTAACTTGCTCTGGTTTTTTTCTGTGTGCTGTTATATTTCGAGCCCTGCAGGTCACATAGAGTGAATATTTTTATTTTTCAATCAATGTTTATATCAAAAATTCAAATTAATACTGAGTTAAACATTAGTTTTAGATATGTTATTACCATGGTTGAGTTGTACAAAAACTTGTATACAAAAAAGAACAACAAAAAACCTTCTGTGATCATGGCCAGGAGTGGTGTGAAACAGTAAAAATATAGAACTTTTGAAAAAAGTATAAAGCTTAGACTCAAAAGGAGAAATCAAGACAGATCACTTTTAGAGCAGAGGCAGTCATAAAGTCTGGGCCTGTTGTTGTTCTCATCCAAGGCTGTAATCAGTTGGCCATTAAGTGGAAGAGTCAGACATCTAAACGGTGGCCAGCTATTTTTATAATGAGCACTAACGTTGGTTGTTGTTACTCGGTAAATCTGACCTACTATAGATTGATGGTAATAAATGAACAACAAAACATATGGCTGTTGGGAAAAATGTAAAAAAGGGAGTCTTTTGACATTTGGAGAAAAGCGTAATTCATGAATTTATAGAGACTTGACATTGGACATCAATATACATATTACTCAACAATTGTCACTGCATATCTGACAAAAATATCAAAGAGGGTAAGAAATTTATCATTTAATTGAATAGTTTTTACAGTACATCTATAGATTTTATAGCTGATATAGAAAAAAGTATATAATTTTGTTTTAGATAGCTACTGACTAAAAGAAAAAAAGAAAACTTTGATGCAGAGGAGGTCATATGTAGCAAAAGCAAAATATTTCTTTTTCATCATTTATTTTGAACACAGGTATATTTCCAAGGTGGCAAGCTGAATCACTTGCAAGGCCTCACTCTCTACAGGCCCCTCCACCCCAGGGGCCCAGGTGCACTGTCTATATTTACGCCCCTGCTGTCCAGTATCTTTGATTTAGGGACTTTCTGTTTTGTCGCTTAAAGGGATACTTTGCTGATTTTCAACTAATCTTGTATCATGACAATGTGGGTAGTATGTGTAAATGTACTACAGTTAACTTCCCTCCATATTACTACCCCCCTAGATCCACCTGCTCATCTCTTGGTATGGCTCTAGGGATGATGCTCGAGCTACAGATTGAACTTCCGCATTTTCATTTGCCCGTAACCACGGATGCAAACATTATAGAAGTGGATCGAGAGACTCTCTCTCTTAAACTCAGACCAAACTTAGATCAATCTGTAAAACCAGGCAGTGCTGATCACATATACCGAGATTCTGTGACTGTTCTGCCTATTTTTTCCACCAATAAAGTCTTAAGAAACATATTTTAGTGCACTGTTTGGCTGTATGAGAATTGGTGAAAAACAAATGAGCGCCATAGTGTTTCCTGTGTTGTAAAAAGAGAGGCTGAAAATGGTAAAACTAAGCAGAACTAATCAAATATGAATCACGATTCTGTTAATGTGTCACCTATTTCTTGCCTCAAAAATTTTCAGAAACAAATTTTAGCTTGTCATTTAACTGTAATTTAAGAGCATTTGTTACCAACTGGCTGCGATCTGGGTTCCTGTGGAAAAACAGCCAAGCCTGCATTACATCAACCATCAGTGGGAGCATTTACTGGTCCAGTGTGGTGCAGTGAATTTTGGTAGTTGTAGGTTTTCAATCTCTTGAGTAAAAACAAATGCCGCAACCCTTTTCCTCTGTTTTCTCTGGTCATACAGAACCAACATCAAAAGTATTTGGATCTCTCTACTGCATAGACAGCCCAGTTTTATGAAAAGACCATCTTGTCAGCAATGAGATACTTCTTTAATAAATTGTGGGAAAACCAAAGTCTGGTTTCCTGTATGAAAACTATGTAAGTGCATATAATGATATTGTATACAGTAAATGGGGAGGATAATAATTTAATGTCAATAATAGCAGGCACATTAGGGAAGCAACATTTAGGTAGAAATATGTGGATATGTTGACGCAAGTGCAGGGTTTTGGGGTATAATACACATTTTAATTGTAGTAATTTTAAACAGCACAAAGCGTGAAAGTGTCTGGAGAACTGTAGTTTGGATTTAAGCCTAATGATGTAGTGGTAGTTTAAAACCATGGAGTAAAATCATATAAGTAGAAATGTAATTTTTTCTATCACTACTTAGATTGATAATTTCTTGAATAGCCACACATATTACTGTTATCCTGGATAGCGGATGTTTTATTTATTTACTTATTGACACATAAAGCAAGATATCATCTGCATATAATGACTATAGAGCAGATTTATGTATACTATGAACTTATCTCCCAAGTTTATTCTCCGAATTCAAGTACTTTTCTGTATCGTGTTACAGTAGCCTTTTGTCATTTATAATTAGCTAATGTTTAGGAGTTAATTCAAAGTGACAGTGGAAACACTGGGATAAATCCTGGCTATAAACTTATTCGTTGCAACCAAATAGGTGCTTTCTCTTTTGATATATAAAGAAAAATGTCATCTGCATATAATTACATTTTATTTCTGTGTTTGTTGTTGTTGTTACATTTCTTTAGAGACGTTTGTTTATACAGTGAACTTTTCTTCCAAGATTAGTCCCTGAAGTACCTCAATTACATATGCCCACTCTACCTGGTCAAATACTTTTTATTATTGACTTATAGTATGATGAAGTCCTCTGTTGTTGTCCTTTTATACAAAATTACATAATGTGTAAGAGTTAACCTAAAGTGGCACTTTTATTTTATTTTTTATTTTTNTCTTTTCTTGGCTGTGCCCCTTCTCTGTGTGTGTGTGTGTGTGTGTGTGTGTGTGTGTGTGTGTGTGGTTTTTTTTGCTTTTGTTGTTATATTTCTATAGAGAAGTTTTATGTGATGAAATCCTAAGTCTTTTTTTTCTGTCTTTATGTAATGTTTAAAAAAAAGTTTGGAAGTACAGTAATTCGTTTGGACCAAACTGTTCTTTTGACAAGATAAGTAACATGTTGTCTGCATACAATGATGCTTTATTTTTGTTTTATTTGTACTATGAGCTTATCTCCAAAGTTTAGTCACTGAAGTACCTTAAATAAAAACCCCTACTCTCCCAGTCCAATTACTTTTTCTGCAGAGAGTTACATTATGTCATTTTCCTTTTCTGCACATAATGATGAAAAGTTTTCTAAATAATCAAACTAAAAATTTAGTCTGGCATGAAGCCCGGCAATAGGTAGATGTTTTACAGTTTTTAAATGAAAACCACTACCCTCTACAATTAAGCAAATGTAGGTTTATATTTATTTAACAGCTATGTGTAAGAATCGGACAAAAACAAGGTGTTAAGCAAATTATTTTTTGACATTGTAACATGCACAGGAAATCCACACAATTGTTGCATATGTATTCACAAGTAAAAAAAGTGTTAATGTTCATTCATCAGAAACATGGCCTTCGCATTGTCCGAGGATCAGTTTCGGTGCAGCATCTGTCTGGACATCTTCAATAACCCTGTCTCTATCCCATGTGGGCACAACTTCTGCCGGGGATGCATCAAACGCTTCTGGGATACCAGACATATGTGTGCGTGTCCACTGTGCAAAGAGAACTTCGAAACCCGTCCAGAACTCAGGATCAACATAGACCTAAAAGACATCACTGAGAAATTTAAAGGGTATGTAAACATTTTTAAACAATGTCTTGCCAAATTAAATGAACCTTTTTAAGCACAATTATTTCCATGTTTGACTCAAATTAACTCGATCTGTATTAAATCAAAAGGTCTTTGGAGGGCAAGCCACCTTACAAGCCTGCCCCACCAAAGAGGATTTTCCCAAAACAAATTTCTTTTGAAGTTTTCTGTGATGTCTGCCATGAGACCGTTATGGCGGCCAAGTCGTGCCTCGTCTGCCAGGTGTCTTACTGTGAAGTTCACCTGACGCCTCATCTAAGGGATCCGATTTTGACGAAGCACAGACTGACAGATCCGGCCACCTTTGTCACTAGTCACCTCTGCAGAAGTCACAACAAGCTCCTGGATATGTTTTGCAAAAGGGAACAGATACCTGTCTGTATGCAATGCAGAGAGAGCATCCACAGACACCATCAGATCGTCCCGCTTGAGAAGGAGAGCAGGAGAATCAAGGTGAGGAAAACTCCCCCAAAGATTTCACAACTCTACTGAGTGTGTGCCTGTTTGCCTGCAAATCATTAGAAGGTATTTTCTCATTCTGACAGCTGCATTACAGTGTTCCTGATGATGCATATGTGTTTATCTTCAACATTTACAGACTCAGTTGAAGATGGTCGAAGCTGAGTATCAGCAGATGGTCAAAGACAGACTCAAAAAGCTTGCAGAGATCAAGACCTTGGGGGAGCTGAGCAAAGTAAGTTTTTCAAACTTTTTCTTGAGCACCATAATCTGATCAAAATATCAATTTGTCCAATACTTGTTTAGGACCAAATATATATGCACTAATACAGAAACCCCTACTTACCTAGATAACTGAATTCAAGAATTGTGATTAAATTTGTGAAAGGGCTGAAAACATACATGGACTGTTGTAACATTTTGAAAGATGGATCAAGTGAATGGTTTGTATTAGTTTTGAATTTTATTATATTCTTGTGTTTTTACATATTAATTATTACCACTTCATGCACATTTGCAGACAAATAATGAACAAGAGATACAAACAAGCATTGAAGTCGCCACCACGGTGATAAGCATCATTGAGAAAAACCAGGCTTCGCTCATTGAGGAGATCGAGCACAAACGGTCGGCGGCTGAGAGGGAGGAGGAAGAGCTTGTCAATGAGCTCGGGCGGGAAATCAATGAATTGCAGGGGAGACAAAGTGAGCTGCAACACCTTGAGCAAACCGATGACCCTCTTCATCTCCTGCAGGTTAGGAGACGTCGACAATTCGTGCTTTTATCCATGCTTGATTATTTATTGCAAGGATAGATTGTACCACCCACACAATCCCTGATATGTTTTTGTACTCACATGATCTGTATGTCACCGTCTTTCTGTTTTAGAGTTTCCCCTCTCTGACTGCTCCACTGTTCACCAAAGACTGGTCCCGGGTCAGTGTCCAGTCGGACGGCTGCATAGGGACAGTGAGGAGAGCATTCTCCAAGCTGGTGGACGTGTGCCAGCAACTTGAAAAGAAACTGTCTGCAGACGGTCAGTAACTTCAGTTGTAATATTGTTGGTGTATCACTTGTTTGGGATTGGATCCCTTAAAAAATGGTCAGTTATATTTAGGTATATTAAGCACATCATATTTTGCTATCTGTACATCACAAAATCATCTGTCAAATCACAATATGTCAAAAGTACATGTATATAATTTGGAAATGAGAATGTGTTTTAAAGCAAAATTTAAAACTAACTACTTTTTTCTTCTTCTTTTTTATTTAAGAAATTAGGAAGGCAACTCGGTATGCAGGTGAGTTTCTAAATATATTTATGTAATTCTCATCTTGTTATCTTGTGGTGGTCTTAGAGAAAGTACAACATAATCCAGAGTTTCTACATATAGAAACATCCATGTAATTATATCAGTGACAAAACCAAGTACAGATTCAGGGGGGACACATCTCCCTCCCCAAGTAACCCTATGAAACCTGAGCAAATTGGCTTGAGTACTTTTAAAAACATGGAAAATGAATGAAAGAAGAAATGACCCAAATAATTTGCAAAAAATTAGTAAAATGACAAAAATCAAAAAGAGAAAAATTTGTGAAGTAAGAAAGAAATTTAAAAAACGACAACAAAGGAAATTACCTAGAAAGAGTGTTTAAAAAATTAATGAAAATAATGAGTAATTAAAAATACTTCTTTTATATTATATTGTAATGTAATATTATAGTAAAAGGAATATTTTCTAAATATTTTAAAAATATTTTTAAATAACTGTTATTAGAATGTTATGTATTATTATTATTATTATTATTGTTATTATTATTCATAGTAGTAGTATATATAGCTGATGTGAAGTCCTGTAGACTGTACGCTCACCAAACAGCAGCTTTTGTTGACTATTTTCGTCTGAGAAGAAGAGTCGAAGCATGCAAAGAGCAGACCATAATATTGAGGAAAATAGAGAAATAAACAATGGATAAATATTGGACTTTTGATCCAAAGTCAAATTAGCTTTCAGACCAAATAAATTGATTATAGTGTTTTTGTTTGAACTCAGTGCAATAAGGCATTTTGGGGTAAAATATTGATTTTATCTCTCTCATCCTTCTTTCTTTTTTTCCTTCTCCAGTGGATGTGTCTCTGGATCCAGTGACTGCCTCGGGTTGGCTGTGTCTGTCCCCAGATGGGAAACAGGTAATGTGTAATGGGATGATCTATTGTAGATAGTCCTTTGTGGTCCAACACTTCACAGTAACTGATGTTGCTGTTGTTGACCCACAGGTGAGCCTCAGCCTCCAGCAGAAGAAACCCTCCCCCCCTGATGACCCCCGCAGGTTCGACTCCTGCGTCTCCGTCTTGGGGAAACAAAGCTTCACGTCTGGGAAAAGTTACTGGGTGGTTCAGGTAGGAGCTCGGACCTTCAGTTACACTATTGACTCTTAATTAGCATATATATATCCCTACAAACTTATGTTGTACTTACATTATATTAAAGGGACACTTCACCACAAAATCAAAAACACACATTTTTCCTCTTACCTGTAGAGCTATTTATAGGTCTAGATTGTTTTGGTGGGAGTTGCTGAGTGTTGGCGATATCGGCCAAAGAGATGTCTGCCTTCTCTCTCAAATGGAACTAGTGGGCCTTTTTTCACTGTCACTTTTGGCCACGCCAAGTCAAGTAAATGGACCCTCTCCAGAATAGGCCCAAAAGATAGGCTTCCCGCCCTCATGTGGGTAGTGGTGACGTCTCACCAACTGCAGCCACCCCCCGATGACCTCACTTCTCCCCCTGAAACAAGACTCTCCTCACCTCTGTCTGCAAAAGAACAGAGAGAAAGGCATTTTTAAAAGTGTTCAGCTTTCAGTACGTCTGTAGCTTCTAATAATATAACTGAATCTACATCAAAGTCTACTTATATAACTCTTGAACACCCCCTTGTGGCTGTAAGCATGCTAAGACATTTCTCTGTGCAGTATGTTCCAGGTAAATTACAAGCTCATCAGAGACAGCAGTAAATTGTGATCCAACTCCAGAATATAGGCTCCTGTGACTTTTTGCTTCCAGGTCAAGGTCAAGTTGTAGTTACGCAAATCAAGCATAGTCACATCATTTATTTGTCTCTGTTTTGCATGTTTCAGGTTGGAGATAAAACAGACTGGGATCTCGGCGTGGCCAAGGAGTCCATCAACAGGAAGGGGTCCATCACAGTGTGTCCTGACAACGGTTACTGGGCGATCTGCCGACGAAAAGGCGGCAGCCTCAGCGCCTGCGCCGGCCCCTCCGTCACACTCCACCTCCAGGAACCCCCCCAGAAAGTCGGCGTCTTCCTGGACTACAATGAAGGAATGGTGTCCTTCTACGACGCAGAAGCAAAGACTCACATTTACACTTACAGCGGGTGCAACTTCACTGAGCCACTATATCCGTATTTGAACCCCTGTCTCCATGACAACGGGAAGAACACCGCCCCGCTGATTATCTGTCCTGTTGAGGTTGGGCTCGCTGACGAGATTGACAGATTTTGAAAGGGAAACTCAGGGCTTGTTTGGACGGCAAAGTCAACGCACATTTCCTTATCTGTCGTGCATATACAGGTTATTACATCACCGCTGTCCAAAGGTCAGATAGGTACCCTCTTACCCTGATGCCCCTCTAACCAACAGTTAACATTTGGAGTTCTACAACAATCCTGTTTTAACATGTTATGTTTCTGTATATACATGTGGTTGTCATTTTCCTTAAAAAGACAAATATACAGCTTTAATTTGAAGGAGTACATTGATCAGTCAAATGTAGTTATATATATATATATATATATATATATATCAGAGAACAGACAAACGTGGTGTATCATACCTAACTTTGGAGCATTATCTAGCCTCCTTCTTAACGTTTCTATGCCAACATGGTCAATACTAACGGATGCCTGTTGTCTAGTTTCACAAGATACCATTACTTTAGCACTAGCTTGAAAAATTAGCACAACACAACATGTTGAAGACAGTACTGAAAGCCTCCAGTTACTTTCGCCGTGGGGGCCAACAATTGTATCAGGACCCCACTCGCGCCACTGTATGTATAGGAGTTTTTATTGGTCTGTGGTGTCCTCTAGTGATGGCCAAATGAGGCCTCATGAACCACTGTCCTTATTTTCTGAAGCCACTAGATGGCGCTGTGTGTTCAACAAAGGTTTGGAAGCACACTTCATTGCCAGTCCTTCAGCCTTTATCTTTAAAGCAAGAGTGCCATCTGGTGGGCTCAGAAAATAAAGAAAGTGGTTCATGAGGCTTCATTTGGCTATCACTAGTGTCCTCCCCGTGGAAATTTCTGTTGTTTTGTATTTCTGTATTCTTCTTTGCAACTTGCAGCTTTTTGGTTTGTGTCTGTGAAGATTCCCAAGTGATGTGTTCAGTGTCAGCAGAGAGCTGAAGAGAAACTAAGGAGTACTTTAACAAAACCAGGGAGCATACTTTTAATTGATTTTTATTCTTTACTTGTTATTTATGAACATTTTTTTTTACATAAGAAGGTCAGTAAGCAAAAAGCAAAAAAAAAAAAAAAAAACACATATGAGGTTATGGGATGATCAGTAAATCAATCAAAATTTACCTAATTTAAAATAATACTGCACACTATATGTAAAATACCTGACTGTATATATTCTAATGCTGTGGGACTAAAATAGGAGGTTAATATAAAGAGTTTATAACTGTGGAGCTGTTTATTTGATGCTGTGTTTTTTTTTTGTTATTGACCCATTTGTAAAATAATTCTCACTTTAACTTTAATCCTTTCTATGAAATATAAATGTTTTTCACACTGCTGTGCTTGACAAATTAAACTGTGCAGTGTGGGCGTAGATCATTTTGACGATGTCACTGTAACTTGTTGATTGCCAGACATTATTGACACATGCTGCTAATTATCAAACGTCTTGATGCAAAACAGCTGTGAAGGATTGTTAGTCATTGTGATCGAGTTTCTTCAGAGCCTGTATCTGTGAGGTGTTTACTGTACATTTTGTCAGCCCCTACATATGAACATGAGATTATAAGGCTTCTGCAAGCAGCTAAGAAAGGTAAAGCTTATGGATATGATGGGGTGCCAGTTGATGTACTGAAAAATGGTAACACACTGAATATTCTATATAGGCTTTTTAATTATTGTTTTTCAAATGGTGTGGTTGAATGAGTTCTGGAAGTATGGTATTATTAACCCCATCCCCAAAGCTGGGGGAAAAGATAGCAGAATACCTCTTAATTACCGGGGAATCACTTTGACATCTTCTGTATATAAACTGTTTTGTTCTGTGCTGTATAATTGTATTGCGGAGTGGGCAGAGTCTAATGATATTATAGCAGATGAGCAAAACGGTTTTAGAAAGAAACGGAGCTGCCTTGATCATATTGCTACCTTAACTACAATCATAGATACAAGTAAAATGTTGAAGAAAGCTACTTTTTGTTCTTTTATTGATTTTTCTAAAGCTTTTGATCATATAGATCAAAACATGTTCTGGAATAAGCTGTCTGCACTAGGCCTACATGGCAATATTTTGAATTGTCTTACTGCTTTGTATGAGAATGTCAAATGCTGTGTTCAGGTTAATGGATGTCTCACAGATTGGTTCCCAGTTGATATTGGAGTTAAACAAGGGTGCATTTTATCTCCTATTCTGTTTGCCATGTATATAAACGATCTGTCTGTAGCAATTAAGGCCTTAGGCAAAGGTGTTTCTATTGATGATGAAAAAATATCCATACTGTTATACGCAGATGACATTGTTTTGATTTCTGAAACTGAGGAGGGGCTTCAGGAGATGCTCAATGTCATCCATAGCTGGTGTCAGGACTGGAAATTGAACGTAAATCCTGATAAAACCAAAGTGGTGCATTTTAGAAATCCATCAATGCCCCTGTCTGAGTTTAGTTTCTCCTGTGGCTCGTTTTCTTGCTGCTGTCTGGGGTTACAAAAGTTATTCTTGTGTTAATGCTGTGTTTAACCGGGCATGTAGATTTTATTTAGGTGTGGGTAAATACACCCCAAATGCTGCTATACAGGGTGATATGGGTTGGAAAACCACCAGTGGTTCTGTATCTTTAAAAACTGGCAGAGACTCTGTGGTATGCCTGACAGCCGATTATGTAAGCGTGTTTTTCAGTGGGTGGCTCATTTGTCAAATATAAAAAACTATGCGCATACGATAACAACATTTCTTAGTTCTATGAACTTATCTCACCTTGCTCGTACAGATATGGTTTACTCAAGTAACGACCTTAAATGTTTTGATACGGCAGTGTCAAAGGCAGACGAGGAATCATGGCTACAGTTAATAAATACACCAGAAGGGAACAAACTACACACTTACTGCCTATTTAAGGATACATTTCAGACAGAGTCCTATGTACAAAATATATTATCAAGACAGCTTAGAAGTGCTTTCACTAAATTCAGATGTTGCGTTGCTCCTTTAGCAATAGAAACTGGTAGATATACGAACACCCCAGTGGATAGACGCTACTGTACTTTATGTATTAATGGTTCCATTGAATCAGAGGCCCATGTTCTTTTACACTGTGACATTTATGTGGACATTCGCGCTGAACTATTTAGTACACTTTCTAAGTATATTGTTAATTTTAATGATCTTGATGATACAAATAAATTGTGTGTAATTTTAGCTGGTAAACATTGCATCAATGAATGTGCCAAAGCCTGCCACCTCATCCTTAACAGAAGATTGTCTTTCATGAGTTCCAATTTATAAAACTGTTCTGTGTTTTGTTTTTCATGGTACCATAGTGTACGTTTTTATAATCTTTTTTATGATGTTTTAGTTGGTGTCTCACAACTCTTTTTTGAGTGGTCCCCAACACTTTTTATTTTGTCAAGGGGGAGGGGGGTAAATTGTATTGAATATTGTATTTTTATTAACATATTCCCTCTGTGCCCTCAAGTACTTTTAATGTGTGCTGTGGAGTGACACCGAAATAAAGTTTATCTATCTATCTATCTATCTATCTATCTATGAAAAAACTGAAAATGAAATGTTTTCTTGTATATTTGTACAAAATGTGGCTCTGTTTTTGGGATTTAAGGGCTTTTTTTAAAACCAAAATATAACTTTTTTTTTCTTCTTTTTATATTGATACATGTGTTTAATTGATTTATTTTTGCTTACATTAATGAAGACAAATTACAACGAGATCATGTTTTTCTCTGAGGGTGTAAGCTTTACTGTACATAAGACCAAATATTTACACTTAATAAATAATAAACTTCATAAAACAAAATCACATGAAATCAAGATGTGTTTTATTTTATTTGTCACATACACAGTCATATACAGTATAATATGTAGTGAAATTTGTTTGTGCCAGACATCAATTAATAAAAAGTAGGAAAAAAAAATAGCGTAGAATAAAATTAACTAAATAAAATAGTTTACAAAAATACATCAGTGAGAAAGTAAAACAATAAAATAGTATGACCATTTTAGTTAAAGAAAAACTGAAACACTATAACCGGTTCATAAATGAAATAAAATAAAATGAAATTTAAAAAAAAAAATAAATAAATAAAAATTAAATTAAATTAAATCTAAAAAATAATAAAATTTAATTAATAAAGCTTTCTAAATTTGTCACACTTTAATTCAGTCTTAATGCCTTGATTTGCGAGCTTAAATATTTATTAAATTACACTAATGGCACAGTTTGTATTTGTAATGTCACAGGAGGCACTTTGACTTGTCACAGTCATCAAAGTGGAGCTCAGCAAATCAAGAAATTAACGATGGCTGAATTCCATTTAGCTACAGAGAGCTCCTAACTGAGCCTAAAAACTTTTAGTGAGGAGTCTTAGCTTAGGAGTGATTTAAAGTTCTTAGAGCAAGTTCTTAGAGGTGTGGTTGACCCTGTTGCTAGGTGTGATGCATTCTTTTAACAGATGTGATTGGTTGTCACACACACACCCTTTTGTGAGCCTGCAAGGTGTGGACACCTAGTGGAAATGAACTGACTGTGAAAGTGATGTCATTGTTAGTGTGATCACTCTGCTGATGGAAGGTTGAGACAGACCCAAGTCATCACTGCTGCACTTTGAGTTTCTCATATGTTGGAGTTGTGATCATTTTAATTCTGGCGTTGTAGAGTTAGGTGGGAACTGTGTGCATATCCCTAGTGACACACCACAAATATTATCCCTGCACAATCTAACCTGTAGCATTTCATTTACTCACTGTCTGTCATTGTTCTCCAACCTCTTTGTGTTTGCACTATAAATAATCATTATTAATTACTATTAAGAAACTCTTAAGCCTCTTAAAAGTCCTCCTCCCTGCTCCTGACAGTTTTTCACATTAGGAGCTCTTTTAAAGGTCCAAGGTGCTCAGTAAATAACTTTCATCTTAACAAGGACCTAGTCTTTACTTTAAGGCGAAATTCAAGGGAAAACGTCAGAATTTTCTTAAAGAATTTTCTTTTATTTTGGCACCAGGAGCAACTCTTGGCACAAGGAAGCTTTGTGAATATGGCCCCTGAACCGTACCAAGGTATTTAAAAATTTCGACAGTTTCAGCCTGTTGATCATCGAGTGAAACTGGCTCTCCCTTCAGATCTTGTTTCCAGCAAATAATCAATTCTTTAGTTTTGGCCACATTAATTTCTAACTTGCCGATGCAACACCATGTTTGAAGGTCTTTAGTATGGGCCAGGTAGG